GCTCTGATGACTTCATGTCTCAGACTGTAGAAGAGGTGAGAAGTATGTCAAAGTAGTGAGTTAGGAAGTAGTAAGGACTTCTAGCCAGAGGTATTGCCAGGTACCTCATTAAAGAAAGGAGACTTGGAAACTACTGTCCCGTCTCTTCAAGAAGGTCAAGGCAGGAAGATAAAGGTAAAGAACAAATTTGCTAAGCAGGTAGTTTAAAAGGAATGTTACCTGAAAAAGTCATTACTCAGGAACCTTGCAGAACACAGATCGAAGCAGACAGCTGTGCTTTGTGCCTGCAGAATGACTGGCATGTCCAGTTCTTAGCCTTTGTAAACTGGACCATAAATAGTACAGTGAAACACATGTATATTTGTGCCTAAGCAGTTATGTGAGAATCACCATTTAGTTTCAGTAGCAGCTCACTGTGGAATTTCGACTCTTCGAGGCTGACCATTGTAATGGAATGTGGCTCCTTCATGCCTTCACGCTTGCAGCCAAGATAAAAGGGCGCAGATCTGCCAGAGTTACACTCTCATTCCTTTGCTACCTCAAATTTCTGCCTACTTACATGCTGCTAAGGCAGGGTGACTGGAGTCAAGTACATAAACATCTCTAAAACAATCTGCTGATTATAGGTGAGAAAATTTTCTACCTGCAGATGCCAGTTCATCTATCTGTTCCACCCACGTCAGTGCTCTGACAAATTTTCTCTTAACTCTAGAAATTTGTTCGTGAGTACAGTACTTTTTTTGAGTGTACATATAGAAGGCCATAGTGTCACTTTGTAGATACCATGAATGAATACATCCTTTAGGGAAATGGAGCCCAAACTTTGGATAAGGACAGACAGTCTTATAGTTATGATTTTTGCCTGGTAGAAAAGCTGATACAGAGACATTTCAAATGGAGTATTGCAGGAATGAACCTCATTTGTTATTCTGTCACCTGAAGAATTGTTAGTACTTCCTGAACTGCCTAGTTCTTTCAGAAGACAGCAAGAAAGCTCTTTCTCTGCTCAGGAAAGCTAAATTCCTACCTGATTTTCCTTGTGTGCGTTCTGCCAGAACTAGATATATGGCAACTCCATTAAAAAGAGATTCTCTTAAAATCTTAGTTGGAATTTATCAATGACATTCCATAAGGACCTGAACCTTATGGAGTCTCCTTTTATAGTTATTTGTATCCAAAATGGGAAGAGTCCTGTTGGTCAAGCTGAAATGATTACCAGAATGAAAAACAGCTCCCTGTAGAGATACGGGAGTTGATATGGGACACAGGTTTACAGGTGTTGACCTTTCCAAACTTAAGTCTTGGGAACCGTGGGAGGAAAACTTAGAGGTGATATTTTTATTGCTGGGAGAAAATACCAAAAGTCCTTTAACCAGTAGGAACATGGCAAATATAAGCATTGAAGGGTTAGGAAACTATATTCAGTGAGGAGTTAAATGCTGTCACTCAAGGTTGAATACTCAGGCACACAAGTGCAATTTTTCTCAAGTGTCAAGTTAAGTGCTGAGCTCCTGTATATACTGAATGGGGTGGAGAATGGGGCACTGGGCATGTAGACTAGAACTCAAAATAGCCCAGTAACTGGAAGGTGGGATGCAAAGCAACCAAGAAGAAAATAACAATGCAGAAAATGCAACTGCTTCAGTTATTCCTTGCATGGACTTAGACACCTGTATTAAGGATCCAGCTATAGTCCGTGGGTCAATGCACTTTTCTTTAAAGGAGGAAAAGCTGGCTGTTGTGATACATCCCATATTTTACTGAATAGCAATATTGAGAAATACCTAGTGCCTCACCATACACACAGTCCTGCCCCCCCCCCAGCTAGCAGCCTCTCTGGGTGGAGCCACATCTGGACCTTCTCTTGAATCAAGGCAGGTTAATATTGACTACTGCCATGTCTCACGAGGCTGTGAGTGGAAGTGAAGGATAAGTAAGGCAAGTGCTGAGATGTTCTACTCCTTGATCCTCTGATTACTTTAATTTTCTCTTACCTTTTTAAATCTATAGTTATTTAATGTAAATGGTATCAACACGCAGGGGCAGGTGCCGAGGCCTCAAAGCATCCCTTTCCCAGCCAGCTGCTCTAATCACTAAACCACAAATTCAGATGCTCCTTCATCCTCCTTCCTTTCAGTTCAATTTACATCTTTGGTTGCTGGCTTGCACAGATCTGGTCAGAAGGAAATGGTGCTGCGTAAGCCTTATTGGGCACTTTCCTGGAACAGGTTAAACCATGTCCCAGCTGAGCACTCTGTTGTCTCCGTTTCCCAGAGGAGTGCACTAATCAGGGGTCTAGTGTGAAAAAGTGGACTTTTTTAGTGATGCCCGTTCACTGAGTTCATGCTGGGTTTCTGTGTTTCACTTCTGATGCATTAAGTGCTTTGTTGAATTTGTACTTAAACCCATGAAAGAGACAGAAGCCCCTCAGAAGGGCATCTCAGCTGACATCTCTGATGCCTGTGTGTGACCTACAGAGGCCTGAAGTATGTAGATGTGGTTTTGGCATAAAAAATATCTTTGAGTTTTTCTCTAGGTTTGCATGGCAGTACCTCTGTTACAACTACCGAACAGCACAAAACTAAGATGAGTCATGGCCCTGACAAAATTCTTATAGAAGGCATGTCTTCAATGCACTTGCTCAAGAGCATTAGTCTGGTGGGCATACCCAGAGTGTGTCCTCTAGGCTGGAACCACACACAAAGTGTTTCCTTGCTTATCCTTCACATGGTTCTCCTCACAGCAAAAGTTTTAACTTTGCTTGTTCTCAGAGTATTCAGATCTGCATTTCCTTTCATCAAACTGCCCCAAATGCCATGTAGTCTACATTCAACTCCTTTTGGAAAAAGTCCTAAAAGGTAAAGACTGTCCCATGGGCCCACTGTGTCATGAACTGACTGCCCCAACTACCCAAACTAAAGTGAAGTTGATTCTTGTATCTCCTGGTACAAAGAGTCTTGATTTTTGTTTGTACAGTGGCACAACAACAAGGTCATTGTGGCATGTTTGAAGTACACTGGATGTGTACTATGCACTGGAAAAGATGAGTCCAGAACCAACTCTCTTCTCAGTGTGACTGCAAAGTCAACAGATCACCTGAAAATCTTGTTAAAAAAAACCATACAGTGCTTTTTAGGAGTTAACTTATGTGAAACACATATTTTAAATAGACCACTTTAATACTGTTTTCAGAAAAGGGATCTGTGATGAAACTGTTACCCATTACCAGAGAAGACAGGACACACTGTTTCTGAAGATGTCAGACTCCTTTTTATGATCTTCGGGACTACCATATTTTGAATATGCTGTTTGTGAATTTTTTATGTTGTCACTGTAACAGTGTATTTAGAGACTTAACCTGTTGGAGCGTAATATTATATAAAAATACTGTATATCTGTGTGGATCCATGACTGGTAGAAACAGTCTTTGCAAAACAGTACTTACATGAAAAGAGCTCATTGTCAGCTGAATGAAAAGTCTTATATGTCTTGAGAGTCCTTCCACCTGTTCATCAGTGATGAAGGTAAATACAAATTCATGGATCCCCAACAATGGAATCAGCACAAGTGTAGATCTTGCCAATCTTAAGAAGAAAATGTTTGATGATAATATTTTTTTCAACATCCTTTGTGCAAAGATCAAAAATTAAGCTACAAAGAAATTATTCCAGAAACATTCCCTTAATATTCTGACTCTGGAATGGTATTAGTAATTTTGTGATTTTGAGGACAAGTTCTGAGATATGAATTTTTGAGCACGCTATCAGAAAAGTCTGTACAGGAGGGAATCTTGGCTTTGGATTTAAGACAAAAGGTTAGGGACAAGAAATTGAACAGTCAGGCCACTACCATCAAACTTAGGCTGCTAGGTAACAGAAAAATATTTACAGAGCTAAATATGAGTGATTAGTTAACAAGGTTCTTAGACCTTACTATCACTGCTGAAAACTCTACGTAGCTGCATAGAAAGTTTCTGTGGTACTGTCAGCAGCCATCTACTTTTTAAAAAATGCAGCCAGAATAACTTTTATGGAAGAGAATCTTCTTTAACAAGACTGGGAACATATTTGCATGGATGAAAGAAGAGATCTCAAAAGAAAGTGAGTTCTGAGGAAGACTTGCAACATAAGGAATAGTTTGAATCTTTGATAGTTTAGCAAAATTATAAGCAGTAGAAAAGAGACTATAACGTGAAACATTAGGCAATGTTAGATACAGGCACTGCTGTCTGTGACTATCATCACAACAGTATTCCTGTAGCAGCCTGGAGAATATAGCTGAGATCTTTTGGACCTTGAATGTTGAAGGAAAATGGAAATACGCTTCTTGTCAGGGATTTAATACTGGAATTTAATAGGAAGTTAGTAGTGGAATTTCTATCCCCCCTCCCCCTGCCCAGTCCTATTAGACAATAAAATAATGCATTTTAGTAATGCAGGACTGTAGTGGCAGACAGGAATTCACAATGCTTTGATTAAAGATACTAAGAACTGCAAAGAACTGGGATGCAGAAAACAGTTAACAAATCCTCAGATTTCCTTTGATTTAAGTGACATTTTCACTGCACCCTTAGGTCCTCACAGAGCAGCCTGCCCTTGCTGTTCGCACAAAGTGGGAAGATGTTTGTGCAGAAGCCAACTCCAGGACTTTACATAAGACGTTGCACCATTGAGACACTGGACAAGAGAGCCCACCCCAGGGCCTGCAAGAGTGCAGGCTAAGGATAATGTTCTGATTTGGGTTTACAATGTACTGGTTTTGACTGGGATAGAGTTAATGTTCTTCACAGTAGCTAGTATGATGCTATGTTCTGGATTTGGACTGAAACCAGTGTTAATGATACAGAGATGTTTTAGTTACTGCTGAGCAGTGCTTACACAGAGTCAAGGCCTTTTCTGCTCCTCACCCACCAGCGAGGAGGCTGGAGGTGCACAAGAAGCTGGGAGGGGACACAGCCAGGACAGCTGACCCCTCAAGGGAAGATGTTATATATCACCCAGGCAAGTGGACCACCTTGGAGAGAGGTATCCAGTACCTGAGGGAACTAGTCATGATAGAGATGATTTATTAAGACCCACACAATGCACAATTACCCAGAGATCCACATGAAGTCTAATGCACATGACCCACGTGGATCAAGTTTGTACAGAGTGCACCATCGTCATATGTCAACCCATTGCCAGTACTGATCTGGAAAGACAAAGAGGCACTGGCAGTGGATGAAATGGCTTGTCAACTCCGGCAATACAAAGAAAATTTTTCTTCCTCTCTACAAGCCTGCATCTCAACTGTGAAAAAACTGTCTGAAAAGACCAAAAAACTGATTCAACTGATTGAAAAGTCCTACTCCTCACCTGTATGGACAAGTATATCAGCTATTAGGAGTAAACATTCCTCTGCTCAAGGGAGAGAATGTAGAAGGTACACACCACAAGGTACTCCACCATTTTACCTGCATGACCACAGAGAGAACATGAGGAAGTGGGATGGAAAACCTACCTCAACCCTAGATGCATGGGTATGTGAGTTGCAAGGAAAAACAAGCCTTTGAACAAATTAAATGGAGGATGGTTCATGCAGTAGCCTTTGGGCCAGTACAGGCAGGACAAGATATTAAAAATGCGCTCTACATCACAGCTGGGGAGAATGCCAGAAAGCACCAGGGGAGACCTGAAAACAACCCCTAGGGTTTTGGAGCTGGGGATGTCAAGGATCCAAGGCCCACTATGCTCCAACTAAGAAAGAGATGTTGGAAGCATATGAAGGAGTTTGAGCTCTCTCAGAAGTGATTGGTACCGAAACACAGCTCCTATTAGCACCCTGACTGCTGGTGCTGGGCTGGATGTTCAAAGGGAAGATCCCTTCTATCCCATCATGCAACTGATGATACATGGAGTAAGTGGGTTGCACTGATCACACAATGAACTTGAATAGGAAACCCCAGTCACCCAGGACTTTTGGAAGTGATCAAGGACTGGCCAGAAGGAAAAGGTTGTGGTATATTGCCAGAGGAGGAGGTGGCATGTGCTGAAGAGGTCCCACACTGAACACCAAAAAGGGCTGTCATGCTTTAACCCTGACAACTTAACTGGCAACTAAGCCCCACACAGCTGCT